AAAAAACTAGTTTTCCAGTGCCTTGGTAGCCCCTGGATAGAGATCATGGGGTGGGAGGGCAGAGGGTTGATGGCCTTGGTTCCCCCCCTCCATTTGGTGTTTGGCTTATATTGAGCATGCTCAGTAACACTGCTGAAGTCTCTGTCCTCAGTACATACCCCTGTGATTTCACTCTCTTCTTTCCCACCCATCACGGCACACACAGGTCAGCCCCACACACTCCAAAATCTGAAATGTCACCCCTGCATATATGTCTCCTCTTTCTTAGAATGTGGAAACTGTTAAAATGTTTATACACCAAACTGTCTGAAATAATAGCTTTAGTCTGTTCAAAACTGTCTATCCACCCACCTACTCCCATTTGTGTGCATTCAAAATTAGAACTTTCCCACAGTCAGGTTCAACAAAGCAAATTTCAGCTGAAACAGCAAGGTTTTTCAGATTTCAAAATGAAATCTTAGGAAACCACAATTTCATCCAATTGTTGCCCAACACAGCAATCAAACCAATTATTGAGCCATGATGAAACAAAATAGCTATCAAAGACAGAACAGGGTAGATGCAATCCTTTCTAGTTCTCATTTCAATTAGAAAAGTAAAAGGTATTCAAGTCCAGGGTTTAAAGTTTTTAATTGTACATCATGATTTTAAGTAATCCATTTTACTCTCATTTTGCATTTGTACTTTCTAGTTATTTTCCTAAAGAAAATATGATACTTAATGGTAGGTAATACTTAAAACATGATTAATGGGACACTTCTCAGAAGATTCCTGTGTGAGACAAGTCAATGTCTTGTTATTTTAACATGGATCATATTCATCAGATTGCCCCTTCAAAAGGTTTGGGCTGTGGCTTACTGATGCAATTTAACTCAGTAAGTATGTGGTGCTAATTATATCTATGCATCTCTTACAAACATTTGTTTTAGAATATCAAGCTATGGAGGAAATTAACAGTATAAACACCACCACATTTAATAAGAGCAGAAATCTCTAAAAAAATCTTTGAAAAACAAAATTATGTTTTTTGAAGCTTTATGAAAAATCTTGGGGGGAGAGTCAGACAAAGTGCAGAATTGATAAAATAGTAAAGAACAGAAAGCTGCGACCTGGAAAATGATTTCATTTTAGGACTCTGACTATCTAAAATACTTCAGCTTTGTCTTGTGCTGTGCAATATCAACAGAAACTATTGTTTTCTTTGTATTCCATTAAAACGTGAGTACTTATTTCTCAGCATAATTTACATTTTTAATTGATGTCCCTCCTTTGGTATATATGAAACAAAAGCTTTTATGCTGCAAGTACAGATGAACAAATTTTCAGGTACAAGTAATTTCAATGTCATTTATGGTAGCACATTAACTTATTCACTGTGATGTGGCATAATGTTACAACAGAATTCACTATACAGCACAGAATAAAGAATTACTCAGAAATAAGGATCATACAGAAGAAGTTTTGTACCCAAGAATACAGATCAGCAAGCCATCTCTTATCCTGCATGATGTTACAGAAGCGATCTAGAGATTCTAAAGGGAGTGTTCTTCAGAACCTACTCCTCACTGAAGAAAGAGGATATAATTCTACACAACTAGGGTGCGTCTAGACTGGCAAGATTTTGCGCAAAAGCGGCCGCTGTCTTCACTGGCCGCTTGAATTTGTGCAAGAGCACTGACTTTGTAATGTACAAAATCAATGCTTCTTGCACAAATACTTTCATGCTCCCACTCAGGAAAAAGCCCAGGGCTTTCTTGCGCAAAATCGTTATAAAGCTGAAATGTATCTGCCCTCTGGCTGTAACCTAGTAGACCCCACGCATCTTCCAGTGTTAAGACATATCCCAGGAGTCCCCTCTCTCTCTTCACAAAGTACGTCTATACATTAAAATGTTAAGACTAACCAGTGTCCCGTAAGCAGCTGGCCACAAAATATAATAATATGTTACTGTTAGAGCTGAGTGGGCCTAATATTTATTTAATTTTCTTTCTTTTATATAGGAATTAGATACAGTGCTCCCGTCAGCTAACTGCTAAAATATCTGCCAAAAAACTAGTTTTCCAGTGCCTTGGTAGCCCCTGGATAGAGATCGTGGGAGGGCAGAGGGTTGATGGCCTTGGTTCCCCCCCTCCATTTGGTGTTTGACTTATATTGAGCATGCTCAGTAACACTGATGAAGTCTCTGTCCTCAGTACATACCCCTGTGATTTCACTCTCTTCTTTCCCACCCATCACGGCACACACAGGTCAGCCCCACACACTCCAAAATCTGAAATGTCACCCCTGCATATATGTCTCCTCTTTCTTAGAATGTGGAAACTGTTAAAATGTTTATACACCAAACTGTCTGAAATAATAGCTTTAGTCTGTTCAAAACTGTCTATCCACCCACCTACTCCCATTTGTGTGCATTCAAAATTAGAACTTTCCCACAGTCAGGTTCAACAAAGCAAATTTCAGCTGAAACAGCAAGGTTTTTCAGATTTCAAAATGAAATCTTAGGAAACCACAATTTCATCCAATTGTTGCCCAACACAGCAATCAAACCAATTATTGAGCCATGATGAAACAAAATAGCTATCAAAGACAGAACAGGGTAGATGCAATCCTTTCTAGTTCTCATTTCAATTAGAAAAGTAAAAGGTATTCAAGTCCAGGGTTTAAAGTTTTTAATTGTACATCATGATTTTAAGTAATCCATTTTACTCTCATTTTGCATTTGTACTTTCTAGTTATTTTCCTAAAGAAAATATGATACTTAATGGTAGGTAATACTTAAAACATGATTAATGGGACACTTCTCAGAAGATTCCTGTGTGAGACAAGTCAATGTCTTGTTATTTTAACATGGATCATATTCATCAGATTGCCCCTTCAAAAGGTTTGGGCTGTGGCTTACTGATGCAATTTAACTCAGTAAGTATGTGGTGCTAATTATATCTATGCATCTCTTACAAACATTTGTTTTAGAATATCAAGCTATGGAGGAAATTAACAGTATAAACACCACCACATTTAATAAGAGCAGAAATCTCTAAAAAAATCTTTGAAAAACAAAATTATGTTTTTTGAAGCTTTATGAAAAATCTTGGGGGGAGAGTCAGACAAAGTCCAGGATTGATAAAATAGTAAAGAACAGAAAGCTGCGACCTGGAAAATGATTTCATTTTAGGACTCTGACTATCTAAACTACTTCAGCTTTGTCTTGTGCTGTGCAATATCAACAGAAACTATTGTTTTCTTTGTATTCCATTAAAACGTGAGTACTTATTTCTCAGCATAATTTACATTTTTAATTGATGTCCCTCCTTTGGTATATATGAAACAAAAGCTTTTATGCTGCAAGTACAGATGAACAAATTTTCAGGTACAAGTAATTTCAATGTCATTTATGGTAGCACATTAACTTATTCACTGTGATGTGGCATAATGTTACAACAGAATTCACTATACAGCACAGAATAAAGAATTACTCAGAAATAAGGATCATACAGAAGAAGTTTTGTACCCAAGAATACAGATCAGCAAGCCATCTCTTATCCTGCATGATGTTACAGAAGCGATCTAGAGATTCTAAAGGGAGTGTTCTTCAGAACCTACTCCTCACTGAAGAAAGAGGATATAATTCTACACAACTAGGGTGCGTCTAGACTGGCAAGATTTTGCGCAAAAGCGGCCGCTGTCTTCACTGGCCGCTTGAATTTGTGCAAGAGCACTGACTTTGTAATGTACAAAATCAATGCTTCTTGCACAAATACTTTCATGCTCCCGCTCAGGAAAAAGCCCAGGGCTTTCTTGCGCAAAATCGTGACTAGACTGGCCACGGATGCTTTTGCGCAAAAGTATCCGTGCCAATCTAGACGCGCTTTTGCAGAAATACTTTTAACGGAAAAACTTTTCCGTTAAAAGTATTTCCGCAAAATCATGCCAGTCTAGACGCAGTCCTAATGTTATGTTTCCCTCCATGAAAACTAGGAACGGGACCAGACTTCATTGTCTGCATTTAAAATGGATTTTCGGGTACATTTATTCTACGTCAATATCTGCACATCAATAAGTACCTTTACCTCACCAATTGCAAAAATTCCTTAATAGTGATCTGTCCTTTTCATTATTTACTATTCCCCCAATTTTGGTGTCATTTGCAAACATTATCAGTGATGATTTTATGTTTTCTCCCCAGTCATTGATAAAGATGCTAAATAGCATAGAGCCAAGAACAACTCTCCACATGATCCACTGAAAACAGACCCACTTGATGAAGATTCATCTTTATAGTTACATTCTGAGACATTTTAGGTACTCAATTCTCTGAGCAATCTGGTCCCCCAGAAGCTCAACAGATCGATGTAGTCCAAAACTTTGCAAAAGTTAGACCACTGTAACAATGCAGCAATTGAAAGTGATCAGTTTTTCCCCCCCTAAAAATGACATTTCCTTTTCTAAAGTTAGACCACTGTAACAATGCAGCAATTGAAAATGATCAGTTTTTTCCCCCCTAAAAATGCCATTTCCTTTTCCGATTGTTTAAAATACCGTGGATGGTGATTTCTTTTAATCTGGAATCATCAGCTCTTACCCTAGCCAATCTAGAATATTTAAATTTACAGGCATGCCCTTTGTTGCCAAAATCAAAGTAGCACCCACTGGCACTTTGCCATCGCTAAAGGAGCATATCAGATATATATTAATTAATTAATTAGGATGCAATTTACCTCATATGCCGTATGATGGACCTCATCCTTCTCCACTGATGTCAATGGGAAAATTGCCATTGACTACAGAGATACAAGTCTGTGTGATGTAGCTTATAAAGTGAAAAAGCCATACAACATATCCTGAAGAACTGCCTCCAAATCAATTAAAAGTCTTCCTTTAACCTTTTACTGAATTGCATTTCCTTCTTATCACACACTTTATTTAATAATTCTATAGGCTTACTGAACAATATTTTGAGAATGTATTTTTCCAGTGGACTGGCTGTCTAAAGTGTACCTCACCTTAGAAAACTTCCATTAACAACTTTTCCAGGACAATCCTTTTCCTCAGTCTTGTATTTGCAAGATATATATTCTCATCTGTTGAAATCTTTGGGTTACCACCATCATCAAAAGAAAAACATTGGCTCTGTGTTCTGTAAATTAAGACATGAGAGGTATCGAGCTAAAAAAACACAGTGCATAGCTTGAGAGGAGTTTACTGTGTTAGTCTGTATCTGTAAAAACAACAAGGAGTCCTGTGGTACCTTAAAGACTAACAGATAATTGGGCACAAGCTTTTATGGGTCAAAACCACTTCATCTGATGCACAGAGATGAAGTGGTTTTGACCCATGTAAGCTTATGCCCAAATAAAACTGTTTATCTTTAAGGTGCCAAAGGACTTCTTTTTAATACATAGCTTATCAGTTCAGCAACAGGAACAGATAAAGATGATGGCTAGGACCAAAGTTCACTTATATGTCCCCTGTTAAATTACCACAGACTGCATGCCACATGCTCACCTGATCCCAGGGAAAGATCTCTGCTTAATAATTCAAAGGCAACAAGAAAATATGTCCTAACAACAGCTTTAAACAGTTGAACTCCATGCACAGGATCAACATTTACAGTAATTAATCTACAGTATAACTATCATTTATTTATTTTACCCAGAATACTCTAAACAGCTTTGAAGCCCCATTACGTGAATATTACTTTTCCATGTGATAATGGTGTATTTATGAAGTAATGAGCATCAATGAGAGCGCTCTAGCTAAATGCCCTCTCAGTAAAAAGAAGGAATGTTAAAGCCAGGGTTCTCTCCCTCACGAGCGCTGGACTTCATAACTGACTCCCCACCTGGTCTGAAATAGCCTGAATCCATGAGCCTTACGGGCACATTGCAAATCCTCCCCTTCCTAATTCTCACTTACTTTTGGAGGGGCAAATACAAAGAAGATTGGGGACTCATGGGAATAAGATGTATTTCTCCTTTGTTTTATGGCCAAACTTTGCCTAATCATGTTCTATTAGGACCCTCATTGAAGTATACTTTTAAACAGCACAAATCATTCTCATGTGACTATCAAATTCCTGTATTCCCAAAACAAAAATTTGAAGATTATTCTCAATGTTTACACCACAATATTTAGGGTCCTTTATTTTTCCAACTCTCTGTAACCCCTTCCATCATTTGAATGCCTCATTGCTCACACAATACAGACCCAGCAACAAAGAATTTCCATAGCAACTGTTGAAACAGACTGCAGCTCAGCAATTCATATCATGTCTTAACATTTTATGTTCTTTCATCCATTCCTTACTTTGCTTAGCTGTGTTTTCCTCTCTACATTGGTCTGCACTCTCTAAAAACAATCAAATACACATTGCTCATTAAATGTCTAATAAAATTAAATTATTTTCTTTAAGACAAGTGAGACTGTTATTCAGTATTCACAAATGTCTGAAAGGAATAAATAGTTCTTCAATATATATATATATATTTTATAATTTATAATTTCTTTGTTGGAATCACTTTCATGTTTCAAAAGTAAATATGTGTAAGGATGTATTTGATATTTATATTAATAAGAAGAAGCATACATTACTGTGACATTTATAGAGTAAGACATTGTAAGTTGCTTTCATAATATATATAAGATTTTACTTGATAAAATGACACAGCATCAAAAATATAAGAAAGGAAATATTTCCAATGTTAGGAAATATAGTACCATAGCAGAATTACAAGCTAGAATCAAGGCCAACTCCTTCTCCTAGAAGAAGTTTGAGCACTTAGATTTTTTTTTTATTTTGATTTTCTGCAGTGGCTTCTATGAATTAAGAAGCATTTTAAACTTATCTTTAATATCTGGTATACTACAGCCAGCATTAATTCACGCTAGCAATACCAACTAAACCACAACAACATTCTTTGAAATAATCAAACAAACAGTTGCTAAGCTCTCAACATCATGCACCATGGAAAATGTGCTGACCACAATACATTCTGAAGAGTGTTTTGTATACTGTAGGTGCAAACTTGGCAGTTAATTTAGGATCACAACAGTAGAATTGACTATATAGGCCAAATTCTGATCTCAGAGCCATGTGAATACAAAATAATTTAACTGAAGTCAACAGATTTATTCAGGACATACATGAGTGTGATGAAGTAAATGTGATCCAGTGCTCACATTATGTTCATTCACACAAGAGGATACAGATCATATGGGGAAAGAGACAATAATACATGATGTATTTACCATTTACTATTAATTAATTGCTAGTACATTTAACAAGAAACTTCTATAGGAGACATACATTAGGCTTCGGAGGGGGCAGAATCTTCTTTAAACCCAGAAATAAGGGGACAGATTCTGATTTCTCTTATACCAATATGAACTGGAGCAACACCTTTACTTTACGTTAAATGGAGTTGTTCCATATTTTCACTAAAGTCACAGATCAGAGCACAAGTCAAACAAGTTACTGGGCACAATACAAAGGTAACTGGATGGAATTTAAGGAGGACAGACTAAAAGACCTACTGCTCCTATATGGCCATAAACTATGAATTTGTCTCAAGCAAAGAACATAGCCAGAAATTATTAGAAAATATAGGGCCACTACATAGGAAACTGACAGGGCTGCAGATATCATAAGACATTTAGACAGATGTGTGTGTATATAGTGCTGGGAAGGAGCCAGTGGTCATGGTACACATAGGTAGGAAGGAGAAATGTCCTGAAAACCAAATTAAGGCTACTAGGTCAGGGTTTAATGTCCCAGACCACCATGGCAGCATTTTTTGAAACGTTTTCAGTTTCACACATGAGCTAGGATGATAGGCAGAACTGAAAGGTTTCAATGTGAGGATGAGATGATGGTGCAAGGACGACAGTTTTAGGTTCATTACGAACTGAAGAAACCTTCTGGAAAAGGAGGAGCCTGTACAGGAAGGATGAACTCCATCTAAACAAAAATGAAACCACACTGCTGATATGTACAATTGAAAAGACTGTAGAGATTTTTTTTTTAAATCTAAGGGCTGTGGGACACTTAACAGGTGTGGAAAAGCACATGATTTGGGGACAGACATCGCTTAAGTCTGAATTTATTAAAGGAGAACTCGAAAGAGCCTAGGAAAGAAGTTGGGAAAATATAGGTAGGAACTAGAGTAGACTTCCGATAATCCGGAACCTATGGGACCTAGGTGGTGCCGGATTATCAAATATGCCGGACTATCAGGAGGTACTATAAACTGGTTATATATATACTGTATACATTAAATACTGTATATAAAGTGTTCTTAACCCTTTTTATTGTACATACTGTATACAGTATACTGTAATGTTTTAGTTTTTTTAAGCCTTTTTTACCCTTTTTGTTCAGTTCAGCTGCTGCCGCTGTTACCTTGTGACTCATTTTTTGCTGAAGCTTACTCACTAGGCTCTTGCCATTTTGATGCCGGACTATCAGGAGTGCCGGATTATTGGATGCCGGACTATTGGAGTTTTACTGTAGTTAGGAACAATCAAATGTAAGTTTCATTTAAATATAACACACAAAAGCAAGCAACTGAATATTCACAAAATGGACAAGTGCTTATATACATATGCTAGAACTATAACTACTACAATGGGCGAACTAGCCCTCCTGATAGTAAATGAAGGTGTTGATATAACAGGAACTGTGGAAACTTGGTGGAATGATGATAATCAATGGGACAAAGTAATACCATAAAGATATATACGCACTGGTGGGGGACTACTATATATGAAAGAAATCATAGTCTAAAATAAAGTAAAAATTTTAAAGGAATCAAACCATACCATACAATTTCTATGATTAGATACACCTCCTTTAAATAATAAGGGTATAGCAGTAGGAATATACTATCGACCACTTTAGCAGAATGCTACCAGTAACTATGAAATGCTCAGGGAAATTAGAGAGGCTACGAAAGCAGAAAATGCAATAATGGGGGATTTCAATTATGCTCATATTGACTAGCTATATGTCGCCTCAGAAAGAGCTGCCAAAATAAAATTTCTAGACACTATAAATGATTGCTGCTTGGAGCAGCTTGCCCTGGAACCCACAAGGAGAGAGACATGTCTTCATTTAGTCCTAAATGAAGCAAAGGGTCTGCCTGGACCAAACCGTGAATATACCTGAACTTCTTGGTAACAATGACCAAAATATAATTAAATGTAACATCCTGGGGGAGGGGGAGGAGACCAGAGAAAGCAACCACAGTAGTATTTAGCTTCCAAAAGGGGATGAAGATGAGGTGGCTTGTTAAACAGAAATTAAAAAAAAAAAGTTGCAAGAGTGAAATAGCTGTGAACTGAATGGAGATTATGTAAAACATTATAACTAAGGCTCAAATTAAATATATAGCCACATTTTTTGAAATGTCACCAAGGCTAAACAATCGAGTAAGAGGTGGTATTACAGACAAAAAGACAGCCTTTCAAAATTGGAAGTCAAATAAGGAAATAAAAGGTGGGAATAAAGGGTCACTTTTCATAATGAAGTGAGGTAAATAGTGTGATTCCCCAAAGATCTGACCAGGGACCTCATAAATGATCAGTGAATAGTAAGGTGGCATAAATTGCAGATACTAAATTACTCAAAATAGTTAAGTGATGCTGACAGTGAAGAGTTTAAAAGGGATTTCACTAAACTGGGTGGTCAGGCAACAAAATGGCAGATGAAACTCAATGCTGATAATGAAAAGCACATTGAAAAAAAATAATCCCAACTAAACATACAAAAGAAATGAGCTGCTATAACACCCAAGAAGGAGTCATTGTGGATAGTTCTCTTATAACATCCACTCAATGTGCAGAAGCAGTCCCAATAGCTAACAGAATGTAACAGGTAGCAGAAAAAACATAATGTCTCTATATCATGGCATGCCCCTTCAGACAACAAAAATTATTATGCAACCCCGGAATGGGGACCAAAGCCTTAGCCCAACAGCCCTGGGTGGCACAGACAAAGCCTCACCATCCCAGGCAAAGGATACCAAAATCAAAGTTCAAGGACTTCATTCCTTAGCAGAGGGCAAGTAATCTGAGCCCCATCACTCAGAGTAAAATCCTGTGGGCTTTGGATATGGACCCGGACAGTGGGGTTCAGGGTTTGGTTCTGGCCCCAAGCCCCAACAAGTCTGAGGCAGCCTTAGTGACCTCCATTAAAATGGGGTTCCAACCCAGTTTGAAAACAGCTCCTCTATATAAATACACAGTACACCCATACGTTGGCTACTGTGTGCAAATTTGGTTTCACCATCTCAGAAAAGATACATTAGAACTGGAGAATTTACAGTAAAGGGAAACAAAAATGATTAGAGGTAAGGAACAGCTTCCATGCAAAAAGAGAGAAAAAGACTGGGGCTGTTCAGCTCAGAAAACAGGTAACTATTGCGGAATATGATAGATGTCCATGAAATCATGGATGATGTGAAGTAAGCGAATCAGGAAGTGCTATTTATCCTTTCACATTACACGCCCCAACTTTCCCTCTAGACAGGTGTGCTTGGCTCCTCACTTGGTCCCAACCCCACCCCCCTTCACCTCTTTCCTCAAGCTCCTGACCCGCCTCTTCCCCTGCATGCACCCAGCCCTACTCCTACTCCTCCCTTCTGGAGCATCCAGAATGCCAGGAAACTGCTGCTCACAGTGTGTGGGAGGTGCTGTATGGAGCTTCGCACCTGCTATTTTTTCCCCATAGTTGCTTCAGCCCTGGAGCACCTATGAAGTCAGTGCCTATGCTTCACGTAACACAGAAACTAAGGGTCACTCAATAAAATTAACAGGCAGTAGGCTTTACACAAACAAAAGGAAACACTTCTTCACACAACCCATAATCCCCCTATGAAACTTGTCATGGGATGATGTGAAGGCCAAAAGATAACTGGGCTCACAAAAGGAATAGCTATGTTCATAGAAGATGGTTCCATCAATGGTGAATAGTTAAGAGGGTCAGGGATATAGTCCCAAGTTCCAACCTTCAACTACCAGTGGAGCTGCCAATTTTCCTTTGTCCCACACCCTTGACTTGCCCCTTCCCTGAGGCCACTCCCCTGTTGCAATCCTTCTCTGAGTCCTCACCCCGTTCACTCCGTTGCCCCTCCTTCAATTGCTCTACCCCACCCTCACTCACTTTTACCAGGCTGGGGTGGAAGGGTGGGGTTCAGGCTCTGGTCTGAGGCAGGAGGTTGGGGTGCAGGAGTGGGTGCGGCACACACTTCTGATGGCTCATAAAAGTGACAGGCACATTACTCGGACTGCAGCTTCTATGGGTCTGTGTGGACTGCTGCCCGTAGGCACTGCTTCCACTGGCCGCAGTTCCTGG